TTTTTTGTTATATTTTATTATATTATCCCTTATTTGATTCTTATATCGGTCATTATTTATACCGCCTGTTTTTTCCTCTCTGGCTTCTTTATAACTTTTACTTCTATTGCACCATACTGTATTCCACCTAACCTCTTCATATGATGCATGACAATAACTCAAACCGCCCCAATTTATCTGATTCTTTGAGCAGAATTTAGAAGAACTGGGCCAAGAGGGACGTTCTAAAGGGCCTGGTGATTCGACCCCACTCACAACCTTACAATACTTTTCACAACACGCCAGGTCTTTTCTCGTGCACGCTTTGCGCAGAGCAATCCGCGATCCGACCTGTCTTCCAGTAAGTACTCCAAGCACGGGGAACCAGACGCCAGGAGCAGGAGTAATCACCATTGTAAAGGCAATCCAGAATGTGTGTAAGTTAAGTCCTTAGTTTTGAATACCTTTCTGATAGATTATGAGTCAAGCTAGCTTTGCAGGCCGACATTTTCCTTTGAACTAGTTTTTGTCGTTCGGTTTAATTCATCAGAACACAATTCGGGAGCTTTCTGCTTATTGCTTTTTATATCCATATGGCAATGTGTTTCCCTTAAACGTTATATTGACAACTACCACGATTCGTCAAGGTAACCGCTAAAATCCACTTCATAGAAAGTGATTCCTTCTATATCAGATGTTAGTCTCGGAAGTCTATTTCTCCTATTATTTAAACCCTTGATCTCGTAATGGCTTATCATAAGTTTATCACATCATATATTTGCTATATATGTATGTGTATGGTTGCATGAGCTCATTGGTTCATCTTAGGACAACTATTGCATGATATGTGAAATTCCCACGCTCCAAACCAAGTCCCTGCATCGCACCTTGGTTGAATACTGTACGATTTAATTTATTTGTTTGTCCTACGTGTGGATGGGTCGAATTTTTACTCTAACCATGAGTACAACTTATGGATGAGCTTGGTCTGTAGCCTGATAATAAAAATTGGATTCGCTTAAGTTTCGCATCTTTGTCATATTTTAACGTTCACTTCTATGAGCCTACTCTGTTCTGCACCCTCTGCTAGTGCTGTCATTCGTTCTTCCACTATTTGGCCGTTGACCTGGTGCATTCCCACACATTTCCTCACCATCAACATTGCGCATAGCCAATATTAAATGCAAGCTACAGCTATTCAAAGCGATAGGTAAAGACAATATGACTTTCCAATAGTCTGTTGACCCGCTATAGAAGTGTACTTCATATTCTTTATGAGCAAGTCTCTAACAATGATGAACGTAACTTTCTTCTAATAAACCCCACTTTGGCAGCACCCAATTGGTGATACCGGGAAGTCTTAAAAGAAAAATGAACTCTTCGAATTCACAGGAGGTATGGAGACTGGCAGAAAGGATAGTTTGGCTAAACGGGCAAGCGTCGATTGACTTTACTGGAACATTCTTGTTGACGCTGTTTCCGGAATAATCTCGTTTGATTCCGCTGAAAATGTGCTAGTAATTAAAACATAAAAGCAAAATCATTTCTCTACCATCAAGGTTTGATGACCAGTACATTTCCTTTCCATATATATTTTAACTATCATTCAGATTGTACGACGTCGGACACATGTCTGGTAATGCTGATGAGCTTTTTATTTTCATGTGAGAGTAAAA